TGTACCATACAATAAAACCCGATGTCATGGCAGAAAAGTATCTCAGGAAAATTTTTGTTAAAAATATGTTTTGTTTAGAAGAAAGTATTGGAATAAAGATGTTTTCGAGAGAAATTACTTTCAGAGAGACCAGTTTAAGCCAACCAAATAGTGGTTTCAAACAAAATCTTTTTATAGCCAGCGGCTTCTTTTTTCAAATATTGAAACTTATTGTTCCGACTTTCGATACGAAAGTAACGGAATATTTGTGCTCGGGTGGGTTTTTTTTTCTTCAGACAAATTTCGACTTTTTAACTAGCCATTTTTGACAAAAATTTTTTGAATCATTCAAAAACTATTGTTGTCCTGAGCTTAAATTTGAGAAGATATTTCACCTGTGACCATTTTTTGTAAAGTTATGGGGGTTTAAAGATTGCCATTTTGGCCAATTTGTGACAATTAACGCGCGATATATTTCGCGCTATTAACGCGTAAGCCGAGATTTAATCCGTCTAAGAAATCGTTTCAAATTGGTTTAACGAAGCTTATTTACCATAATTGATTTGTTACAAGGAGCGAAATCTATCCTATTGTACTTTATATGGCGTGTGGGAGGATGTTTTTAATTTAAAAAACTTCAAATTTTAGAGAAAAAAAATTTCCATTTTATTTTATTACATTTAATTTTTTTTTTGTCTTATTACTGCTCCATAAACCTCAAAAGGCAGTCGGAACATTCAGGGCTTCGCCCTGATACGAGTAGTCTTGTTGTTCCGACTTTCGATACGAAAGTAACGGAATATTTGTGCTCGGGGTGGGTTTTTTTTCTTCAGACAAATTTCGACTTTTTAACTAGCCAAATTTGACGGAATTTTTCTTTTATATCATTCGAAAGGTATTGTTGTCCGAGCTCAAATTTGAAAAGATATTTCACCTGTGATCTTTTTTCGTAAAGTTATGGGGATTTAAAGATTGCCATTTTGGCCAATTTGGGACAATTAACGCCTAAGCGGAGATTTAATCGGTCTTAGAAATCGTTCCAAATTGGTTTAACGAAGCTTATTTGCCATAATTGAATTGTTACAAGTAGCGAAATCTATCCTTTTGTACTTTATAAGGCGTGTGGGGGGATAGTTTTTATTTTAAAAATTTCAAATTTAAAAAAAAATTTCATTTTGTTTTATTACTTTGAACTTTTTAATGTTATTACTGCTCCATAAACCTTAATAGGCAGTCGGAACATTCAGGGCTTCGCCCTGATACGAGCAGTCTTGTTTAATTTATGATCATTTTCAGTAAAACTTAAGGGCTAGAAAGTTAACCAATTCGACCAAACTTTGAAAAAGTTTACGCGCTTTTCAAACATATATATATATATATATATATATATATATATATATATATATATATATATATATGAGATTGTAAGACCGAACTATCATTACGTGCCGTACTATCCTCATAACAAAGTTTTTCGAAATTGATCTGAGGGTGGAAACCCAGATAAAATCGTCTAAAAATCCTGCGAAATACAATTAAAAAATCAAACAAAAGTCTAGTATAATTAAATTTTTTGGGCGTTGTTAGTTAAAAATTTCAATCGGTATGTGAGTAACAGTCTGACTATGGAAACCAACAACCCGCGATTGATTATTGAATAGTGTACGTTTGATGATAAAATATATTAGGTGTGGTTGAGAAGATATTTTCTGCTGTGTCAGGTAAAAATGCATTTGTTCTGTAATGATTTGAACAATGTTTTCGAAAATCCCTGAAATTGTTTAGTTTTTTAAATTAGGTCGTCTCATATATCTTGCCTTCTAGAATCAGCAATTTTTATTTTTTTATTTTTCAGCGAAATAATGGGTTTGAGAAAACAATAATCATATATAAGCGTCATATATAAGCGCGTTTACCTTAAAAAAGGGTTATTTTGGCTTTTTAATCGATCAAAAATTACGCTGAAACTACCAAGTTAATTTATGAGAAAATTGTGCCAAAAGAAGCCTCTTACACAGGCCAGCAATATTCTAGAGAAATTAAATTTTCAAAAATTTACGTAACATGTTTTAAATTTGTTTTTAGCAACAGATTTTGTTTTTATATTGTAAAAATGAATCTTACACGCACAGGCCAATAGAATCTTAGAAGGGTCAAAATCCCAAAAACTTATATACGAGAATATATTTTTGGTTCATAACCAAAAAAAGGTCATTTTAAACAAAATTTCAAACTTTGTTCATTTTGTCCAGATAATTTAAATCAGCACTATACTTGTTTTCAAAATTTATAATTTGTGTATGAATATTTGAAGGGCTCTCTGAACATTCAAGACGTTGTCCTGATACGAGCAGAAGTTCAATGTTAATTACGAGATGACGTAATTGAATGAAAGCCCAAGGCTACATAATTGATTATTTTAATGTTCACTTCATTTCATTGTTTCAACAGAAAAAAAAATAAATTATAGTTTTTAAATTTCAATTGTAAAAGTATAAAGCTAAGACTTTCATCATCCTAGCCCACCAAATAGACTAAACTAAATTCTACGGGTCTATTGTTTATTTTATTGGATTTGAACGTTGATAAATTCTCAGGACAATATAACGAGATAGCCAAGTTTTTGACTGATGCATTTTCTTTTAAGTTCAAAGATTGCAAATTAGAGGTTGTTAATCACTTATTGTTTTTTTAATCTGTTCCCTAAAAATATGGCCGCATAAATCTAAAACATGAGCGCATAATCTATAAACTATCAATGGACATTAATTTGGCATATTAAAGTTGAACCCATATTGAAAATAACTTCAAAGATTGTCGACAAATTATAGCAGTTTTTAATCAAATTTCAAAGTAACCAACTTTTTTGGTGTTCTCATAGAATTTAATCATCGTTCTTTTTTGACGCGCTTACAAACAGATTGAAAAAATAAGACTTTTCGCAGTACGAAATTACGTTTTTAATTTCATTCACTTAATGCAAAAACTGCAAAAACAAACGTAACAGTCACTGACTTTCATGTTCACACTTCCTTCCATTTTTTCACAAAAAAAGTGACCAATTTGTGACTAATTTTTAGACCGTGCTATGTTCACGACATCTTTTCAGGATCAAGCTAAAATCTTCCAACCCTTGATTTAATTTGTATTTTGCTGCGTTGAAACTGCTCGTTTCTGGTTGGCTTCGTGTCTCTTTTTCCTGCCCCCCCCCCCCCACCTCGCGTGATCATCGATTTTATGGTGTAACTAGTGGGTTTACAAGTTAAAATATGAAGAACAAATATGTTTGTCATAGATAGCTAAGTTATTCTGCATGACAATTTTCAAATTAATCGGATAACGCAAAAAAAATATATTTTTTTTTAGAAAATCTCAGGCGGTGGAAAAGGAAAAAGAGCCGGCTTCGTTTCTGGTTACTACTTAGAGTTAGGCCCCACTTCGAACCAAGTTGACAAGTTTGCAAAAAAACGATAAAGTTGTAGGTATATGTGATAGGTGGTAGGTGGGCCAAAAAACCGAAAAATAAATTATCATTTCAACAAGCCAAAATTCAAAATTGTTACGGACCATAACAGATTAACCATGTTCCGACCATTTGAAAAACGGGGAGAATCTTATATTCGGATGTGTATTAGTTTTTTTGTTTTTACACAAAATCAGCTATCACAAATAATCATCAGTGAACGTTGAGTGATATATCAAATTAAAACTTTTGAGTCATGATTAGAACGACAAAAAAAATTCCGATAAAACCTTCCCAGTGTCGAGAAAAACCGGTCTGAAATTTTTGATTTTTCCATTAAATTCGATCGAATAAATCGAGCGAGCAGGCTTGCAATAGCTTATTTTGATGGCTTAAAAGCTTATAATAGCTTATATAAAGCCGTGAAATTTTAGTTTTAGTTAGTTTTTATAGTAAAGTTAGTTTTTATAGTATTTTAGTGCCTTTTTGGAATCAAACAATTCAAAAAACACTAAAAAACACCAATAAAGTTAGTTTTTATAGTATTTTAGTGCCTTTTTGGAATCAAACAATTCAAAAAACACTAAAAAATCAAAATTTTTTTTGATTTTCTTGTGTAACACTACAAAAATTTGCGCATTTTACAATGACTGTCCAGTATGCTTACGTTCTAGTTTTTTTGCTCAGATTCTTTCATCATACCACACCAAACAAACGACACTCAGTTGAAAAAAAATGCATTTTTTTAAGACTGTGATCGGACGACTCTGTGTTTTTTGCTCACTAACCGGCTACCCTTGTTGTTGTTATGCAATTGTTACGTCATTCTGATGTAATATCCGTAATTCTGATTTACCATCGGGTTTAAGGTGTGGTGGTTAGTAGATATGGCTGCTTGTGGAATATCCGCCGTGTGATAATTGATAATTTGGAAAAAATCTTCAGCTGGATATCAGATTGATAAGAGAAACGACATGAAATGATTGATATAATTGTGACTTCATTAATCACCGAGACATAAAATTTTTGTGCTGAATTGGAGAAAATTGTGCTGAAATATTTGTACCAAGTTTCTTATGAGGCCAAACTGTTCACTGGATAGGCGCATAAATTGGTGTTTATATGTCTCTGGAATCAAGAGAAATCTTTAAACATGTTGAAACTTTGTCGGAACAATCAAAGAAATCGAAAGAACAAATGACGAACAAATAGAGCGTCCTTGTTGTTGAATACGCTTACAATTCACAAATTACACAGTTTGGCCGTGTACTAATTTTTAGAATTTTTCATGAATTTTTTTTGTTCGTATTTATTTTTCGAAAAAAAATTTTGTCGGTTATGCCTAACTCATTAATGTACAACGTTCTATTACAATTTTCCTCTCAAAGCGCAAATATTAGTGCAAAAAACGACACTGATTTGAAGAAAAAAGGAAACATTTTTTTCCTGTTTTTTATGGATGTGGCCGGAACATTCTATGACACTTGCACAGCAAATGGCACTTCTTGTCGCCAGTTAGAGAACGCGTTTTTAATAAATTTAGACACCGAGTACACACCATGAATATACCGGAAGCACACTCCTCGATTCCATGCTGACAAGAGAACCCATATCTGTCGTACTCGGCCCAATACTCACTCTAAAACAGATTTGATTAATTGCAGGAAAAACTTGGTTGAAAAACATGAAAAACTTTAAAAAAAACCTGATTGAAAAAGTTTCAAATATTCGAAACAGTTTTAACTTTTGGCGCGCCCAGAACTTTTTTTTACAAGCGATAAAATAAAGTGCATTTTGGTTATTTTCTTTTTTTTATAGGTCAGTCACTTTAACTCAGTGGTCTGAGCTAAACGACCCCATTCTACCACGATATTTTGAGTCCATGTCAACCTTTTGAGTGATTTGACGTTTTAGAGAATTTTTCGAATTTTAAACCCATAAAATTGTAACCTCTTTGGAAATTAGTATTTTCTGTCGACGTTAGATACGCGCTTTATTCTGATTTTAATTGCTAAAAATATAACCATACTGATGAATATATATGACGCCCCCCCCCCCCATCTCAGGGATTTCATCCGTGATTACAAAATTTGATCAAAAATACGGTATTTTTAGTGACTTAGGAGAGCTCAGAGCTCAGAAATACAATTTGGTCATCAACACGAATAAAAAAATTTGCAAAAAGTTAACTGAGACGCAGAAAATTGTAGAAAGATAGGGTCGTCCAAGCAAGCATGAAAAAGAAAGAAACCTTTGCGTTTCCGAAGGGCACAAACTCCAACTTCAGAATATTCTGCACTTCGTAGTAAGCTGGTCTAAGAACTTCTGAGAAAAAATGGTCACAGGGGGGACACCCTGCCTCAAAGTAGATTATCAGGGAAGAGGAGTTACTGCTGTCAGTTGACGATGATGTGACTCTGAGTTCAGGAGTTGCGCCGACATCCTAGAAGCAACAATCCGGAATCGAACAAACCCGAAATGAAAATGGAACCTTAAGCTAATGCTCAAAGTGTTAATTTGAAGCTAATTACATTATCATCAAAACCATTTAAAATCAGACTATAGGCTTCTTTTTCAACCGGCATGAATCTTCAGAAAAACTAAGTAATGGTTAACACTTATCAAAAAACTCATTATGAAACGAAACTCATCATAAAAGCATACCTGATGAAAGATCGAAATACTAAAGAACAAAATCGCAAAAATCATGGCAAGCAGTTGATTTAAGAAATCAGAAAAGTAGAGAAATGTACTAAATACTGCATAGATTTATTTGTAGATTGATCGATATCAAAATTGACAAACGAATCCTTTGAGATAACGTAAGTACAAAAGCAGTCAACTGCTTTAAGAAAGCTCCTACCATAAGTTAAAACATGGTCATAAGGTCGTAAAGCTCGTTTAGATTTCATGCGTCGGGTCCAATAACTAGCCTTTCGTTAAAAGAAAAGACTGTCCATGAACACGATAACTCCATGGCATCCTTAAGTTTTATTAAACCTTTTGCAAGCGTTCAATTAGGGGCGGGCTTAGAACCACCCTGAGAGTCCCCTTTGGTAATATTTTATGACATCCATTTTAAGTCAAGCAAACCTGAAAGTCAATCAAACCTAACTTTGAAGGCAGTTCGCGCTGAAAGACGCAATTTTTTGGTCAACACTTTCCAAAAAAAAGGAAACGTGGCGCAGAAAGTTAAAATCATAGTTAAAATCATTATCGTCAAAATCATAATCGTCAAAAATTTTATAATTGATTAAAAATTTCAGAAAGCGGTATAACATTGATAGGGAAAAAAGAACTTCGCAAATTTTTAGTGAGAATGGCATAAATAGGGAAAATGGAACTTCGCAATTTTAAAGGAAGAAAAAAACTTCGGAATTGAAATGAAAAGAATAATTAGTCATAGTTTTTTAAAATCAGAAAGTGAAATCTGGGCTTACCCGTTCCCCTCTCTCCCATTCACATGTTCAGTAGTAACTTGATTGTACATATAAGTGTAACCCGAACTTGTTAACTTTTTGATGTTTTTCAATTCACCGGGGAAAAATTTGTTAAAGTTGTTATTCCCGAATTCCTCAACGAACAAACCAGAAACGTCCTTGGTAGATCATTATATATCGATATTAAAGCTTTTCCCGGGTCTCGGTCCGCGACTTATTTTTTGACTTTGTCGGTCGTGCCGAATGTTAATTCTGCGACCAAAAATTCATTGCCTGGAGAGGGTCTTAAGTCGCGGAAGAAGTCTAAAAATAATAAAAATACAGAATCTTGGTCGCAATGGTCGAAAAATTAGTCGAAGCATGGTCAAAAAATTAGCATCCTTCGGAATTTGAGGATCCGACCTCGTGTCGACGGGGTCTGAACCTACCATGCTAGACATTATCCATTCTCGCACTGAACGTTTGTAATTTGAACTCTATTTAGATCAAGCTGTTACTTTCGCGCAGTCACAATTGGGTTCAAATATGTGCCCGCATTGTAGAAAAATTAGTCGTGTGAGTCAGTAAAACATCACATGGACTAATTAAAGCAAAGCAGACACAAAGCTGGCCTCTCTTTTCTCGTTTTTTTTCTTTGTGATTTTTTTAACCAAAGATTTGATTTTCTAACCAGTATGTTTGACGGGAGTTTTCTTACATCATCTCAAAGCTACTGATGTCTGGAGATTCAAACTAAAAATTTTCCTCTGTGATCAATTTAATGAAATTCTGGGGGTTTGAATTTAGCTAATGTATAATGATTGATTCCGATACATTCACTAAATAAAAATGCAGGCGGCGAAATCATCCTGCTTAGAAATCGCTGCAAATTAAATTGAGGCAAGCTATTTGGTTTAATTAAAAAGTGGCTTTATGTAACATATTCAGTTTGTACTTTCAATAATCAGTTCGTACTTTCAAAACCAAAAAAAAATCGGAAACCAAAATTTAAACTGTTTTCATTTCTTTCTTGATTGCACTATTTTTTTCAATCAAAACCTACTCCATAGATAATTAAAAAGTCTCTGTAACATTTAAGGCGTAGCTCTGATATGATCAGGTTCTTACTCATTAGGCTGCACTTAATTACTTTCACCGCATTTTATTTGCTTAGTCAATCTTAGAGAAGAATTTAAATGTTGCAGAATTATTTCATTAAAGACAAAAAACATTTTGTAATTAGAAATTGTAAATTCCAATACATTTTTTGATGAAAAAATTCAATTTATTTATTGCAAAAATGCAAAAGAGATTTAATGTTAGGAAGCCCTGGGTATCTCAAGAGACCTCAAGCTTGTTAATTTAATTGAATACAGGAGGTTAAAAACATTCAAAAAAGTTCGGTTACGAATAAAAAAAAACTAATTTTCAGTTGAAAGCAACTTTGATCTGTTTTTCAAAACTGACAAAACCAATATAATCAAAAAAAATAAAGTTTTGCTCAGGATCAATAAATTAGTCAGCTGCCTTTTGCGCCAAGTTTTTGCCTTTAAAATTTTTTTTATCATGAAAAATGGCCTCTAATCCCGAGAAAATTTATCGTGCTTAAGCATTCTGCTTTATACACGGTTGCTATTCGTATTTTTTTGATCTCAGGTGGTAACTACTCGCGACAGAAACATTCTAATGGTTGAACACACGCTAAATAGAAATTATGTTAAGAAAAGCAAAATCAATCTTGCTTTAAGTTTTGAGGAAAAAGTTTCGACTATTCTATCCCAATTTGCCCATTCAGCTAAAATAGGACGCCTATTTTAGCATAATCCCACCAAAACTAACTTTTTTTTACTACTAGATCAATCTAAACATATTTCTACAACTGATATAATTATTTGAAGTTTATTTGTTTTTTTTTGTGAGATTTAGCATCTAATGAAAGCATTTATTGCATGCTAGTATGAACTTAAAGAAATTTCCCGAACAAAACTATTTCTGCGAAGAAAAGTTTTTGCGCAAATAAAGCACTTAATCAACTAAGCAAAGGCGACTTGATCTTTTCCTAGATTTCTTCTGCAATCCAATAGAGCCAACTTGGCGTTCATAAGCCAGTTGATAATCTAAATGAGACGGAAATATCAAACTAATCGAAACAGAAGCTTGTATTTTCGATTACGTTCTTTACCGTTCCTTGGAAACCTCTCTCATAATATTAATGCATAACTACTTGTTATTATATTAATGATTCCAGTTTGTTATATGATCTTTCCCGATTGAGTTGCTCGTATTATACTTCGACTTTGAAAGTCGAGCAAGTGCAGTTTTGTGACTGAGATTCTGTGTCGAGAAGCAGTTTTGAGTCAAGCAGATAGTCGAAACGTAACCGATTGTGCCCGAAAATTTCAAAACATATCAAGCATAGTCAAAAAATTTTGACTAAATCGAGCATAGTCAAAACGTAGGCCGAGCATGCCTTAAATTTTCAAAATTGTTAGTTTTGTCAATCATAAGAACAAAATTATGTACCAATAATCGAAAATACGGACGGATATCTACTTGAATTGTGTTTACTGATTTACCAGTTTCTTAGTCACGCCGGTTGAAGCGAATTTGAGGTGGATAGAATAACTTTTTTCTGTTTAACGAAAAAAACGAGACGGTCGAAACAAAATTGTTTCTGGTCGAGAACGTTGAAACACATCAATGAGGGCCGAGCAAATAAACTTTCCAAAAGTTTCGGACGAGAGAGTTGAGAAAGCCGAAATATATCGAAGTTTGGTCCAGACCTTCGAAACATATTTGAAGTGGGTCGAAAAAAGTCCAAACATACCGAGTCGAGACGGTCGAATTATATAGATTTTTGGTCGAGAAAGTCGAAACGTACGTCGAGGACTTCGGCCCGGGGTGAATTTTTGAAGCCTCGGTAATTCATAGATGTTCCAAAAAAGCGCGGGTCTAGTAGTTTTCAAAAGGCTGGCCGCTTCATTCTAAATTGAATCCAAAGTCAAAATCTATTGGCTATTGTTATCACATTAGACCTGAGAAGACGTTCGAAAAGTGTTGGCGTCAAATTCTGTCTTTTTTCATGAGTTAAAGCCCTGCAAGGTAGGCGAACGAGTAATATTTTCACACTTATTCGAAAACGAGAACTATATTTTGTCGCGACTTCATTTAATTGCCCTAATAGGACTAAGAAACTGAAAAAGAGTAAGCAACCAGCATAAGCAAAAGTCAAACTACATTTATAAATTGTTCATTTGCTCAAAAATTTCAACAAACCAGTTCTTTCATTTTTAAATTTTGAGTCAGCGGAATTTTAGTTTTTTGTTTATTATTGTTTCCATGCACTTGGGCTAGTTAACACCGCGCAAAAAAAAACAATCAGTAGAAAAAAACAGTAAAAGTAAAAAAAGGTTCTGACCTAGGGGTATTTATTATCACGGGATTGTGTTTGGAAACACACTCACACACTCAACTTATTAGAAAATCAAATAGGACGCCAAAATGTCTGAATTTCGATAATTTTATGGAAAATGTTTTTCATACTGTTCCTATGAATAAAAATACCGTTCGAAAAAAAACTTGATTATAACTTTTTGTACTAGATTGTGTGGCTATAAAGTGTAATTAACCTTGAAGCCACACAATTGAGTACAATTGAATATAATCTAGTTTTTCCTTGAAAAATAAACCAATCGTATTCAATTTAAAACCAATTCTAATTGTTTTTAACCAAAAAATACTCGGTAATGTTGGATTGTAAAATTGCGAAAAACAGTCAAGTTAAATTCCAATTTTATTCACTTGTAATCGAATATAGTTAAAATCTATAGAGCCCGACCTTTGTAGTCATTAATTGTTGGTTATTATTCATAGTTAATCCATTATAATGGCAAAAAATTCACCGTAGAAGCGAAAAAGCTTACGTGACGGAAAAACTTGACTTTCCAGAAAAAAAGGCTCGCCAAAACTTTTTTATATCAGCCAAAGGCTATTGTTGGCCTGAGTTTAAAAAAATTCTACATTAACCAATTTTGTAGAAAAAGGGGGTTCAAAGATAGCCAAATTGGCCAATTTAGGTAAATTACCGCGTGATATACCTCTTGCTATTAACGTGTAAGCTGAGATTTAGTCCGTCTTAGAAGTTGTTCTATTTATTTGATCTAATTAATACTTAGCTATATCATAAATGAGTTACTTTGTACTTGGTAAAGCGTGTGCGAGGATGCTTTTTGAAATTCATATTAGAAAATTTCATCAATTTTTCTAAAACAAACACTACTCCATAGGATTTAAAAGGCATGCTCGCAACATTCAGGACTGCACCCGAAAATAAGTAGTCTTGTTTCGTTTATGGAATCGATACGTAAATTTACGACCTCAATTCTCTCGACACCTCCATTTCCTAAACTTTCCAAAGAAACAATTAGCGTTTGTAACGCATTTATTAATACAAAAAGAATTTAGACTCATATAGACTCATTTAGACTAGAATCATATGGAAAACAGGTAGTCACTTTTATTTCAGAAAACAAAAACTTGAATCGACAATTAGAAAGAAAATTCTGTAACGTCTCCGAAGCTGTGTTAAGTTCATCAATGAAAAACCTAACAATAGCACCTATAGCGTTCGCGTTATCACTTTGGAACTCTTAAACATAAAAACACTACATAAATGACTTGGACTGCTTGATTGCTTTGCGCAGTCGAATATTTAAAACAATAATCATACAAATAAAGTTTCAAATTGAAAAATTGAACGTCATGTTTCAGTTAAAGCTGTACAAGAATGTTTGAAACCCAAATCAGTACAGTCTAATCGACAGATTACTAATATCAAATTTGATATTTAACAGTCAAAACTAAACTGCAACAAAACTGCTCGTATCAAGGCGAAGCCCTGAATGTTCCGACTGCCTTTTAAGGTCTATGAAGCAGAAATATGATGAAAAAATTAAATATAAAAAAATGAAAAAAAAATTGAGATTTTTTGTGAAAATCATCTCCCCACACGCCATATAAAGTACAAAGTGATAAATTTAACTTCTAGTAACAAATCAATTATGGCAATTAAGCTTCTTTCAACCAATTTGAAACGATTTCTAAGACGGATTAAATCTACGCTTACGCGTTAATTGTCCCGAATTGTCCAAAATGCCAATCTTAAACCCCCATAACTTTACGAAAAATGATCACAGGTGAAAAATCTTTTCTAACTAAAGCTTGGGACAACAATACTTTTCGAATTATGTTGAAAAATTCCGTCAAAAATGGCTAGTTAAAAAGTCGAAATTTGTCGGAAGAAAAAAAAACCCACCCCGAGCACAAATATTCCGTTACTTTCCTATCAAAAGTCGGAACAAAAATGAAAGTTCGACTATTTTTATACACAGCAAGCAACAAGCTCGGAAGCCCTGCATACTTCGACTGCCTTTCAAGGTTTATGGAACAGTGTTTGCTTTAACAAAATTGATGGAATTTTCAAAACAAGTCGAAAAAAAATCTAAGAAGTTTTGAAGGGTTTTTAAGATTTTTTTTCTAAAAATCATCCACTGCACGCCATAAAGAGTATAAAGTGACAAATTTCACTCCTACTAACGTAGTATTTATGACAAATAGCCTGCTTCAACCATTTCGGAACGATTTCTAAGACAGATTAAATCTCCGATCGCGCATTAATTTTCCCAAATTGGCCAAATTAGCAGTCTTCAAATTCCAAGCCAATTAACAATCCCCATAATTTTACGAAAAGTGATCACTGGTTAAATATCTTTTTCAATATTAGTTCAAGACAAAAATGCATTTTGTTTGTTGTAAAAAGAATTCTTTCAAATACTGCAAATCATCGCGAACACAACTGTTCCGTCATTTTTTTTCGAAAGTCGTAACAAAAATGATCACAGTTGAAAAATATTGTTAACTTTGAGCTCAAAACCGCAAGAAATTTTGAATGATGTACAATAATTCTGTCAAAATTTGCTTGTTAAATATCGAAATTTGTTTGGACAAAAAAACTACCCCAAACACAAATCTTCTGTCACTGTCTTCGAAAGTGGGAACAGTAAGTTCGAATCATTAGTAGAAACAATTAGCGTTTGTAACGCATTTATTAATACAAAAAGAATTTAGACTCATATAGACTCATATAGACTAGAATCATATGGAAAACAGGTAATCACTTTTATTTCAGAAAACAAAAACTTGAATCGACAATTAGAAAGAAATTTCTGTAACGTCTCCGAAGCTGTGTTAAGTTCATCAATGAAAAACCTAACAATAGCACCTATAGCGTTCGCGTTATCACTTTGGAACTCTTAAACATAAAAACACTTCATAAATTACTTAGACTGCTTGATTGCTTTGCGCAGTCGAATATTTAAAACAATAATCATTCAAATAAAGTTTCAAATTGAAAAATTGAACGTCATGTTTCAGTTAAAGCTGTACAAGAATGTTTGAAACCCAAATCAGTACAGTCTAATCGACAGATTACTAATATCAAATTTGATATTTAACAGTCAAAACTAAACTGCAACAAGACTGCTCGTATCAAGGCGAAGCCCTGAATGTTCCGACTGCCTTTTAAGGTCTATGAAGCAGAAATATGATGAAAAAATTAAATATAAAAAAATGAAAAAAAAAAATTGAGATTTTTTGTGAAAATCATCTCCCCACACGCCATATAAAGTACAAAGTGATAAACTTAGCTTCTAGTAACAAATCAATTATGGCAATTAAGCTTCTTTCAACCAATTTGAAACGATTTCTAAGACGGAATAAATCTACGCTTACGCGTTAATAGCGCGAAATATATCGCGCGTTAATTGTCCCGAATTGTCCAAAATGCCAATCTTTAAACCCCCATAACTTTACGAAAAATGATCACAGGTGAAAAATCTTTTCTAACTAAAGCTTGGGACAACAATACTTTTCGAATTATGTTAAAAAATTCCGTCAAAAATGGCTAGTTAAAAAGTCGAAATTTGTCGGAAAAAAAAACCCACCCCGAGCACAAATATTCCGTTACTTTCCTATCAAAAGTCGGAACAAAAATGAAAGTTCGACTATTTTTTATACACAGCAAGCAACAAGCTCGGAAGCCCTGCATACTTCGACTGCCTTTCAAGGTTTATGGAACAGTGTTTGCTTTAACAAAATTGATGGAATTTTCAAAACAAATCGAAAAAAAATCTAAGAAGTTTTGAAGGGTTTTTAAGATTTTTTTTCTAAAAATCATCCACTGCACGCCATAAAGAGTATAAAGTGACAAATTTCACTCCTACTAACGTAGTATTTATGACAAATAGCCTGCTTCAACCATTTCGGAACGATTTCTAAGACAGATTAAATCTCCGATCGCGCATTAATTTTCCCAAATTGGCCAAATTAGCAGTCTTCAAATTCCAAGCCAATTAACAATCCCCATAATTTTACGAAAAGTGATCACTGGTTAAATATCTTTTTCAATATTAGTTCAAGACAAAAATGCATTTTGTTTGTTGTAAAAAGAATTCTTTCAAATACTGCAAATCATCGCGAACACAACTGTTCCGTCATTTTTTTTCGAAAGTCGTAACAAAAATGATCACAGTTGAAAAATATTGTTAACTTTGAGCTCAAAACCGCAAGAAATTTTGAATGATGTACAATAATTCTGTCAAAATTTGCTTGTTAAATATCGAAATTTGTTTGGACAAAAAAACTACCCCAAACACAAATCTTCTGTCACTGTCTTCGAAAGTGGGAACAATAAGTTCGAATCATTAACTGAATTTTTTAAAATATAAGTCTTAATATTCAATTCTATTTACAGAACTTTCTTCGGCACATCAGCAATAAATTTGTGCCAGTTTATTCAAAATCATTACACTCATCTTGTGTAGTTTTTTGAGGCAATTGATAACAATTTACTCACGGGTGAAAAGGTAAAAAGTTCAATTTTTTTAAGATAATAGGATTGCCTGGCTAAGCTGTTAAACCAAAAAAGAACCATAAAGTTGGTGCAAGTCTGGAGAGGTCTCGGTAAAAACCAAGTGTAAGAGAGGGATCCCAAATCACTCTAATTTTAAGCGAATACGGTAATTATTTATTCAATATCAGCCTGTTGGTCGTTTTAAAACTTTCTCCCAAGAGTAATTAACCTGCATGACTTGCGCATACTTATTCGATACTCTTTAATTGACATCATCAAAGCACTAAATTGAACAATTTTAAGGCACTCTTATTACATTTGAGAACCGGTTATTTTCATGGGACCTCCCTATGATTTTTTTTACCATGACATCATTTTAAAAAATGCAGGACTAAATGTGAGTAATTTGTTGCCAATGAAGCCTAAGTATATGGTTATCGTTTGCCAATTTGCTCTCAATAAATTGAACCATCCAAGCTGTTTGCTGACACTTTCATTACATTTAGGCTCTCAAATCCACCATGCCCATTGTATTTTCTTCATCAGATGATTTAGTCGTCCTCATCTGACCGCTGTATCCAGGGGGAGCTGGCTGTCCGTACCCTACAGCGGTTTGAGGGTAAGCGGCGTTATATGGAAGATATCTGGCCATAGCCCCACCGACACCTCCCTGCCATTGCGCCAGTGCATCTTGCGTCTTCTTGTCTGAATATGTAAAATAACTCAACTTTTATTCAGCCTAATTATAATGATGTATCACTGCTATAACTTAATTTAGGGGGAGTATCGGAAAAATTTAAGCAAGACAGCTCTCGCACCCAGGGGTGTTCAGTTATCGATATAGATTATATTGCAGTTTCAAAATAGATTATCGATATTTTTGAGCTGACAAAATAAATAATCTAAATAATCTTTGGAATATTTCGAACAAAAATAGATTATTGTTGAAAATTTTATTTTTCAAACCAAATCGGATACAACTTTAATATCCCAGAGTTGCTTGTTTACAAAAAGGAACAATTGAGCTTCAAGGTTGACAGGCTCGAGTTTTTTACGGTAGTCGTCAAAAATCATGAACTGGCAGCACTTGATGCACTCGTTAGTTATGCAAACAATCTGAAACGACGTTATTTTGGTTGAATGTGTCACTCCTTTCCGTAAATAGGCCCACATTCATTGGCTACGAATCCCAAGACAATAATCGAGGCAACAAGTCACAATTATTGTTAGTCAACAATAGATTATTGTAATGTTTAGCTCCAAAAAATAGATTATCGATATATATTTATTGACAATAATCTTGTATACAATAATCTTTTGAACACCCCTGCTCGCACCAAGGTGACTGCTTTTTAAAACCCTGGATGTTTCTTCTGAATTTGACTTATTCTTTTTTTGAAGTAAGTTTGAAATGTAATTTAACAAATAGTCTTTTTTCAAATGTTATTAGTTTTTATAAATTGAGTTCAGAGAGAATTTGTTGATATCACTTAATTTGCCACAAATTGGACTGAGTATTTCAGCGCAAACGGTTTTACTAGTACTACATGACTGAAGCAACGCATTAAAATGCGCACATTTTCGCTCAATTTTTTTCCATGTCAACTTTTTTAGACCAAACCGTAGAAGAGTTAAAAAAAGTGTTAGTTGAAAATTATTCGATGTCATCCTTGCAATTGTCTAAGAATGGATTGCAGTATCTAACTTTGCTTCCTGACGCAGCAGAAGACGACAGCTGCAGTAGCGACAATGGCGCCGCAGCACACGCATGGAAGGATGATCACAATCAGGAAGAACCAGAACACATCCCTGCAATAAAAATTCAACCCAGCATTTTGTTTTTCAGGGCAAAACCCCAATTGTTCCATTCAACTGTCTTTAAATGAATCCAATTTTGCTTTTTGACTCAAATTATTCGATACATTGTTTTGATTTTGCTCCCTACCAATCCCATGAAGCTCCATTGGAAGTTTTAACCCCCCCCCCCATCATTAAGGAAAGTAATCACAGGTGAATTATCTGAATAAGTATGTAGTGCAAGTCAATGATATCTTTCAATTGGTTGACAATTGAAAAAATATCAGCCAAAAGCTACAACATAAAAAATATGAAAATGGCACGAATGAAAAACAGCGCCGCGAAGGAAAAAATTATAATGTGAGATCCTTTGCTTTCCAATACATTCTTCGTTGTCGGAATGAAAAAAAAAACACTGCGCTAAAACTATTTAGAATTATAGCTTTTTAACAATTCTTCACCCCAAATTAAATTTTCAGATGATAACCTAGAAAAACTTAAATTAATTGTTTGCGTCAAAAAATTTATCTGGCCGTTTTTCGTTTCTCAATTTTAAATAATCCTTAGATAACTGAAGGCGTTTTTTTAAAAAGTTTTCATGAGTTTTTTATGAGGATTTTTTTTACGATCAAAGAATATTTTGCGTCCATTATCAAATGTCCATAATTAAAAGAGAATGATTCCAAACAAAAGAGGCTCCAGCAAAGCATTGAGTACAAAAACTCCACATCCACTACCCGAGTTGATACGGTCAAAACATTTATCAACCGTATGGCTCAACCAAACTCGACCAGTGTCGGCAGCGGACATTGTTTGGTTCAGAAATTCGATAGTGGGCATATTTTGATTCGAAAAGTCGAGATAGGAAAAACAGTCGGACCAAAGCGTCAATACATAATTTGACCACCTCAACTCGAGCAAGTTAGATTACCGGCCAAAAACGTAATAGAAAATGATTTTATGATTTAGGCTTAATTTGATAGCAAGGAAATGTCTCACTAGTGTTTTTGAACGTTGTTTCGATCGCTTCGGTGGTTTTGAGCGCCGCCAGCAGGTGGAAAAAAATTCAAGCAAAACTGATACGGAAAAAAAAGATCGTAGAGGCCATACTAACATCGAGCAAAACTGGGCGCAGTTGTTGTTGCTGCAGCAAACATGTTCTTTGCTATGAAAGCGACAATCCCAGTCCTTATCGCACCATGATTGTCCATTACGCCTAAATAAAAAACTTTGCAAAAGTTTTCACCTGAAATTTAAAATTAAGAACTGTTTCTTTTGAAGAAAGAATTGGTGTTAATACCCTACACCAGCCCATAAGAAAAGCGCTGAGCAAAAAAATATTCTAGAGATTTTTTTAATCAAAATGAACGGAACTTGGTTGGCTCTGCATATTTAAAAAAATAGGTAGTTAGATGTGGTAAGGTACCATAAAACAAAAAACAGAAAAAAAACGAAAAAAAAACTCTTTTTTACCTCACACTATGTAATAATGTTAGCTAATTGTCGTATTTTACCCTAAGCTCCAAAAAACCAAAATGACAATTACAAAAAAATCAGATTAATTTTCAGCTAAAGACATTCAATTTTTTAAATGATCAATTTTTTTTAAAGTTTTGTTCAAAATGGCTCATTAAATAGGAACTCTGCCAGGAAGTTTTAGATAAAAAATCTTTGAAAACCAGGCCTAGATGCCTGCTAAATACCCTTTCAGCAAATCCAAAAAAAAAATTACGAAGTTTTCTGATAATTGTTTAGTCGCCACAAAGTTATTTTCAGACTCAATTTACCAGTGAGCCTCTTCGACATTTCAATGATTGTGTTTTGATTTTTTTTGCACCTCAAATCAACACGCAACTTATATCAATTATCAATATATCACAAAAATTGAAAGAAGCCCAATCACAACATCTACGAACTGGAAAAATATATTTTTTGAAGAAATATCAAATCAAGTTTTGCATAACAGACAAATAATTTTTTATTTGCAATATAATGAAAAAAATATTGCATAGCAGACATAGCAAACTTTTTTGAAAAAAAAATATATATATATATTACATAACAGACATACATTTTTTCTCACACTACATTGTTTTATCTCACAATTTTCAAAGATATTGTAAAAGTACCCGCTGCCATAGCCCCGACGACCATAGTCTCTGTCCCAGTTGTCAAAGCGCCGACGACCATAGTCTCTGTTCAAGTTGTAGTAGTCCCAAGGACCGTAGTCGCCCTCCCAGTAGTCGTAGTCCCATTCTTCCCGGAAAGGACCACCAGCGCCAACCAAACTGAGATGCACAATCAACGCAAAGGCCACAAAGCTCAAAACTCGCAGAGCTAGGACATGAAAATATCAAATTTAGTTCGAAATTTCAAAAACTGGAGAGAAAGTTTTCAGCTAATTTGTCTTTGAAATTTCAAAAAATGGAGAGAACGTTATCAGCTAATTTGTCTTTGAAAAGCGTGAAAATTTTAATAGAGATTTGGCAAGATCAATGCTAACAGCCAGGGGTGGATTTAGGGGGGGAGCAGACACTTTTTTTTCAGGGATTCGACCTCTTGACGACCCAAAGGGTCCCCTTTTTGTACTATTTTGAAATATTCATTTTTGATGACGGACCCTAAAAGTTTTCTAAAGTCCCTTTCAGCTCCAATATATACTATTTTTGAGAAGGGAGCGCCTGTTTTTGGCCTGTTTTTTTTCAAAATTTTGCACAGAAAAGTTATTCAGAACAGGACTTTTTAGTGCTTTAGGAGAGTTCAAAAAATAAATTTGTTCGACCTAAAAAGTTCGTCAAAACTATCAAAAATTTCTTGAAAATCCACCCCCCTCGAGAAAATCCTAGATCCGCCCCTACTAACAGCTACTAAGCTGTAAAAATGGATAAGATCTTTTAATTTGATTTTTATATTGTTGTATATTAGCTGTTTCGATTTTTTTTAAAAACCCAAAACTTAATAGACGAAGATCGGGATGAAAAAAAAAACCTTTTTTTTCGGGTTTTGATTGCAGTCGGACAATTCTTTGGCCACGTTTTCTCGGCCGAAAAACAAAAAAGGGCTTAAGTGCTATTTTACGACAATAAATTTTTTCAAGCGATTTATAAACAATTATATTGTTTTTTTAGTTTTTTGCTTAATAGCTTTTCTTTGTCAAAATATGATTTTGCCACAATTTTGACATGAAGCCATCAGATTGAATGATTATATTTGTTTTATAAGATTATGTTGCGTTGGAATAGATTTCTTACGTTTGGTCTTCGTGGATTTTCTTTTTTTCAGAAACTGTTCAATTATTCTATAAAAAAATACAAAAAAATTCTTTTTAAATTGTTTCTACCGATAAATCAGCGTGAGCTCTCGATTAAAAATCTATAAAATACTGGCTCATTCATGTGTTTTTTTCAAAAATCCATCTAAAACACGCTGGCAATCGACTCAGAAACACTTGATATTTTAAATGATTTTACACAGGATTTTGACCAAAAAACACGTGAGCAATCGAATGAAAAGTTTTTTATACAAAAAATATAAATCATGCTTTTTTATACGAAGATTCAACAAAAATTACGCTAACAATTGACTGAAGAATCTCAGTTTAAAAAAACGTTTTGAAGTTTTACTCAGAAACTCATGCAATTTAACATGTATACTCATAATAAAATACGTGAACATATGTTCTCGTAAGTACAACTAAACAAAATGTCATAAAATCTATAATAAAAAAAATCAAGCAAAACTAACTAAACAATTCAAGTAAAAACACAAGTAATGCAACATTTTACTCGTGGTTTTGAATGAATAGAATACTTGAGAGCTCAGTGTTCTTCTTGAAAATTTGACTAGCTCTCAAGCTATTTTTTCACGAGACATTTTTTCAAGTGATAATACGCGAAACTTTTTGAGAGTATAGATTTCTTTTTTGGAATACTTTAATTTTGGTCTTTGATCCATATTTGGTGTTTTCAAATTTTTGCTTCCTTACAGAAATTATTTTTTCTTCACCCAAACGTTTCAAACTTCAAAAAAGGAACTAGTTCTTTCATCAGCTGTGGTGTTTTCTCAAGGTCAATTGATGTACAAAATTCAAAATTGTGGACCAATTGTTGTCCCCAAAAATTGGGTGACAAAAGTTTTCCAACAAAAAAGAGTCTAGAGTTTTCAAACATTGATACGAGTAACCTTGTTTTGTTAAAGTACTAATTAAATAGTTTTGAATATTTTGAAACAAAACTAATTATTTTTATTTGCGATTAGTTTATGCAAAATTATGAGCGTCCGCTGGCTGCCAAAAAAGTTGTCAATTTTAAACTTTTCAAAAGCGCGTTTACCAGATTTTTTTTACACCTCTCGAATGCCAAAAAATGTTGCCACTCGACTGGAGTCTAGCTAATTTATTCAAAAAACGCGTTTTTTATTATTTAGTATTTTACATTGTTTTTGGGAGATTTAAACGCCTAAAGAAAGTCACATTGTTTTTTCAACTAATTTTCTGGAAATCTCATGAAAAACTTCACACGAAGGAAAGCTTGAAACCTTTATAACACGCTGAAGGGCATTCTGGAGTATTGTTTTGGATCGGTGCTAGGTAGAAAGTTTTTTCTGAAGATTTTGTTGAGATCGATGTTAATGATAACTTACCTAAAAATTGGTAGTATTTGTAGTTGTTACCAGTGAGAAAAATATGCAAAAAACAAGATATGTAATTAGGGATAAATACTTTTTTTTGTTCACGTGTTCCCATTTTGGTAACTTTACCAAAAAAACACGCGACATATATAGCATCGTAATCATGGTTAAACTCATATGATAATCAAGAGACAGCAATAAATATAGAATTAGTTCTGAACCAATTTATTACGCGTCAACAGATCGGATAAATTTATACATTTATTTTTTTAAAGTTTCATACAAAGAAATTTAACTTTGATGATTTCTCAGATCATCACAAGTAACCAATCCTTTCAACACAAGACTTTTGTTGATATTTGAATGAAAGAATGAATTTGGAAAATCTCCTGCTCTCATAAAAATCTAATTTAAACCCATGTTATACCAGTGATGACAATTGGAAGCGCAAATTCAACTGAGAACAACTTTTGATTGTAAGCACACAAATTGCAGCGTGTTCAAAATCTGAAGTAATTTTGGAGAACGCTAGTAGTTGAAACTTGTCACGGCTCCTTCGTTTAAAAATCGCTGATGATTTTGGCATTGTATTGCTTATTTGTTCCTTTATCAGTTTATAAAACAAATTTAAACTGTTCCCAAAAAAGTTTTATATTCATGCAATCTGGGAAATCAACCAAACTTTTTTCATTAAATGAAAAAATAAACTTTAAACTTATAACATGCTTTTTGGGTATCTTTTTTGGTAATTTTTCTCTCTCTGGGGGGGGGGGGGGGTGTTGGCAGATGGCAGAAGAAGATATGAGTTCAAGATTGCATGATTGATTAATTTTTAAATCCACCTTGCTAATATTTAAAAAGCCAATAACTAAAGAGAACCAAGGCCTATAATTTGCTACAAATCATCAGAAACAGTTGTTAATTTATATTTGTAAATATGAATATTTGGTGTAAACAAAAAATATTTGCCGATATGTTTTTGCATAGTAAAAACTGGCTTTTGGACACAATATTAAAACAGAAACCCTAATCTCTTCTTTGCAAGTTTTAAAAGTGGCATACTATTTGTTTTTGTACATAGAGAAATAGAGTTGTTTTTATTCTATAATTCATTAGGCGTAAATTTACCGTTGTATTTTCGAAATATTGAAATTATGAAAAAAATACCTGCTCTCCAAGACATTTGAATCATTTTGAGAGGAAAATAAATCAATAAAAGGCTTAATCAGAGAAACTAATTTCTGATTAAACTAACTTCCTAGTTTTTAGAAAACTTGTTCGGTTTCTGCCGCACGAATATTTTTCATCAAGTTAAACTAAGTTTTGTTTCTGGACGCAAAATTATGAAAGTGGTTTTCAGCATTTGCCAACAAATTACGGCTTTAATTTGTTCAGTTTTTTAAATGGTATTAAATATTTTTTCACATACAATTGATAATGTATGTTTTTCTTGGTCACAGTTTGATACACCTGCTTGATTTAAATAGACGAAGCTCAACATTCTTTTGTAAAGTACTTTTCAAAGTTTATTCATAAGAACTTGACAACACTGCTAAAATAACTGTTTTGGTATGCATAAAAGTATTTGATAATGTAAAAAAAACAACACAATGAGAGCTCACAATTGATTCATGATTTTTTAAAAGTATTTTGAAGATTCGTTTCGGTTCAATCATATCAGAGGTGGTTTTTAAAAAATGTTCCTACAAATTTTCTAAATTACACTAAATTTTCTAAATTAATATTTTAAATATTTGCGAGATTCTGTTTTTTCTCTGGTCTATATTTCATATAAACTCCAAAAACCAAAACAATCAAAAATAAATAATGCATCCGAATTTTGTTAATTTTTGTAGTTTTTGTGAAAAGTTTATTTAGAATCTTCTGGTTTTAACCGCTAAAGTTGAAAATTGCAGTAAATGGTCCGATTTGATCAGAGAACAACAATGCTTGTATAAGGTCGAAGCTATAAAAATTCTGGCTGCATTTCAAGCTATTCAGGTAACTGATGTTGTTATAGCAAAAAAATAATTAATATACATTTTTTTGAAAATCGGCCCTCCGCTGGCTTTAAATTCTACGGCAATAACTTACAAATGTTCACTCCAAATTTGACCTAAATTACTATTGATGATATAGCCACCTTACCAAAAGCATGTTATTCAAAAATTAGCAAGTTGCACAGCAGCGTAAGTCAAAAATCCATACTTTTGTTAAAATCAAATTTTTAGTTTACTGCTTCTCAAATTCTAGAGCCCAATTTGAACATGATGAAAATCACAGGGCTGTTACATTTAGATTTTAACATGTTTGGCTACTTCAGTTTTTTGAAAATTCACCAGTTGAAACTACAAAGCAAAGGCCCCCAACTTCTGGTCTTGCCATCAAAAGAGTGGTAAGCTACAAAACTTTTTTATCCGAAGACATGTTAAGGCTATTAAATATTGTTCGATGGTTTTCAACACTGATAAAAGCTTTATTGCGTAAATAATAGAAGATTGAGCAGGGGCGGATCTAGGATTTTCTCGAGGGGGGGGGGGCGGATTTTCAAAAAAAAATCGAAAATTTTGACGACCTTTTTTTTTTAGGTCGACCAAATTGATTTTTCGAGCTCTCCCAAAGCACTGTTTTGCCCCTATTTCGGCTAAATTTTGTGCGCCGCAGGCAAATTTTTGAAAAAAAAAACAGTCAAAAAAGCCGTTTTTGGGCACTTTTTGAAAAATTTTGACAAAAAATCGCGTTTTTTTTTTGGCGCGCGCTCCCCCTCAAAGTTAGTATATATTGGCGCCCAAGGCGCCTTTAGAAAAATTTTAGGTTCGGTCGGCCAAAAATGGATTTCTGAAAAAGTGTCAAAGGGGGGACCCTTTGGGTCGGCAGGGGGTCGAATCCCTGAGGGGGGGGGGGCGTCCGCCCCCCCGCCCCTTCCCTAAATCCGCCCCTGAGATTGAGTATATTGAATTTCATCAGAACTCATTTGTTCGAGAGCTGGCTAGCGACTAAAGCCCAATCGTTAGCTGTTACATTTCTTTCGGTCTATATATGGTGCCCGGATAACATTCTGGGCAAGCAGTACTGAAATAATACGATCAACCAAATCGCTGTTAGTCGAACATATGGGTCATTCTACTTGTTGCTAAGACTTTCCTATTCTTACTCAAAATATATTTAATTTTTGATCCACTCGTAAATATCTTCATTATTTCTAATGTACAAATTTGTAGGCACAAAAAATATCATCATTTTAAGATTATTATATATTGACAAAAAATTAAGAACAGTATGATTTTTAACAGGTTGGATTTTATTTTTTCAGCTGAAGTATTATTGACAATGATGAGATTTGTTCAAGTCCAATTAGTTGGTAATGGCCTGAGGGCTAGGAGGAGCTGAGATTTGAGATTTAAAAGGCTCGTATAAGCGAAAGAGAGAGAGAGAGCGCGCTGAGCAAGTTGTGACTGTTGTTTTGATAAAAAGAGAAAGACGACAAGCGAATGAATTTGGTACGTTTTTGCTTCTCTTTTTTAATTTGAGGTTTCATATTAACCAGATTCCAACTGTTTGTTAATTCGCATAATCTTGTTTAATAACTCTTGCTTTTTGCATTTTTGATGATATTTTGGTTAAGTAACATTGGTTAAGTAACTTTATCAATTTCTTTCATATTCGCATTAAAAATTTATGGTAATATAACCAAATGATTGCTTGTTGACGTAATCTGTCTGCATTCATGCTGATATTTTACAAAAATAAGTAACTTTATCAATTTCTTTCATATTCGCATGAAAAATTTATGGTAATATAACCAAATGATTGCTTGTTGACGTAATCTGTCTGCATTCATGCTGATATTTTACAAAAATATGCCAAAGTTGGAAAAAAAAGAGTTTCTGAACTTGATTCAGAACCATAATACCACGGGGAGGCGACTGTTTGACCTAATTTAACCAACGGTGTCTAGTTACACGTCCTTTAGACAACATAGCCTGCTTCATTTCATATTTGATTGAGTTTTGAGCAAACTTTATTTGCCGCGGAAACAAATTTCAAAAAAAAAGAAAAAGTGTTAATTTGAATAATGCCTGCACTGATAAAGATGGATTGAGATCCTTTTAGTATGAAAAAATAGGTGGATTAAATTGAAATTGATTTTGAAATCGTTTTTAAAAAGTGCATTGATCAAACTATAAAATTAAGATCAGTTTTATATCAATATAAAATTCAACTGAAATCGAGTCGAAACCATTTTTGTCATTGCGGGTAACTATGATTAAAAATCGGTTGCTTGCAAATTTTTTCTGTCAAATTGGGTTGGCTTCAAAAAATAACCTATGATGTAACAAATAAGAAAATTTTACGCCCCACTTCCAGATAAATTTTCCACACCAGCGTTTAGTTTTGGTTTAATTTGCTAAATGCTGCGTTCAAAAAGCTCAATTTTGGTTGGCTGAAACTCCTACGTGGAACCAATTTACTTTCCGTCCACCTAAATTGCTTTGGATGGAAAAAGGATGTCAGTTTGGTACCAAAGAGTTATGTGTGAAATAACTTGCATCCGATTGGGTCTGATTTGGGTCCCATCAAACTGCCTTAACACTTTGAATTTTTTATGTGCAGGTTAAATTTTCATTTTACAGGTTGGACATTTGGCAAAAACTAAATAAAAATGCTATGATTGGTAGCTTCTTTCTTCATATACGCCCACAATAATAAAATATCGCGCTGAAAATAATTTTAGTTTAGAACACAGAAGGTCACCATTATTTTGAATGAGGCCAAAAGTTATCATTTTTAATTTCGATCACTCAAATTTGTTCCGAGAAAGAAGAATAGCATATTTTAAAAAATTGCCAACCTTGTTTGAAAAAGATCTACGAATTTTAGAGCCAAATTTATTGAGGACAGATTTTAAAAAAAAAATTGATCTAGATTCAGATTTATATGGCACTTCGAGATGATCCTACATTCAACCCATAGCACTTTTTTCTGCTTTCAAGGCAGCTGATTTTACGAGAAAAAAGACTATCAAAGTTTTTATTTTTGGCAATAACACAATAACACAGGGTGACCGGAAAAAAACTCTAGGCATACAACCAAGGTGCGAATTTAAGGGAGTGGGCAGGTGATGGACGTATGCGCTCGTTTTCCCCTTACCAGTCCCCTCCTCAGGTGTTCGACCCACCCACCATCCAGACAAACCCCTTTTGGTACCATTTTTTCTGAATTCCATCTAATGCTGGCCAGCTCAAAATTCGTTTATTGACGCATTAGGCTCCAATACATGGTAAAATTGGGATGGGAATACTGACCGAAAAAAAAATTGTCAAAAATTCGGCCACTTAAAGTTTCGAATGAAACCCTTGATCCGTTCCTGATACAGTGCAAAACATCTATAAAAATTTTTGAAACTTACGAGATGCGCTCGTGCTTATATCAAAACTCTCGCGTCAAAAATTAGCGTGCGGTAGTTGAGAACCAAAAAGACGTCTCATAATAGTAGCTCGTATCACTGCAAAGCTTTTGGTCTCGAATAGCTTTTGTTAAACTAAAAATTGACAAAACATTAATTTTCGGCTGTTAGCATCAAATTGTAAATTTTAAAAATTGGTGGTGTCCCTGGTGATGGAGGGGCTGAATGTTTGAAATTTACTTTCACTTATTTTCAGCCAATCAGAACTGAGTTTTCAAAAATCTCGAAGAAATTGCAAAGGTCTCAAAGAAGAAGAATAAATACAGGCAATTAATTATAAATTAAGAAGATGAATGAGTTTTCAAGCATTGCGAAAATATATCGAAGCGTAGCATTAGAAAAACCAGAAACCGATTTTTGAAAAAAATATATATTTAAAAAATTATTCTTTATCCGCAGAAATTGTGCCGCTACAGATAATTCTTTGTTAATAAAAACCTCGGATGTGTGCAAAACTTGATTAGCAAATCGGACCGTGTAACGATTCTGATTAGTTGAAAGTTTGCGCTCATGATGCGTTTCCTCCATCATGAGAACACTGCCTTAAAGTTTGAGTCGTGCATGGGATTAATTTGACCACTTAGCTTATTGCCTCAATTCAATTTGGAACACTTTTCAGCCACAACTTTAATTTGGAACAATTTGTAGTGCGGAATAATTAGCCACAAGTATGATATAAAACGATCAGTCTACACTGACTTGTTGCAGGATACCATAAAGGTGTGCACAACCGTCTGGGAGCATGCAGACGCGAAGAAGGTTTCGGTCTGAAATTGGTCTGGGTGAAAAAACCACCCCGAGTTTATTTATTCTTCACTTTCTTAAAAAATCGGAACAATAATCGTTTTGTCATCTTTTTATGAAGGTTTTTCGTTCGTCGCCGTCAATTAGGAGTTAAATTAGGCGAAGCAATCTGAGATAAATGAGTTTTTTTTTCGGAAAAGTTTGAGCAATTGGTTTGCGTTATAGACAAA